CCCCCCCCCCCCCCCCCGTTATGCTGCAAATTAGCAGCACAGCAAACTCCCGCATGTGCTGTTTGCAGATGGGTCTGCAGGCAAACTGCATGTGCACGCTCGTTGGGATGCGCCCAATGTTTCTAGCTCCCCAAGACAGATTTGCCTTAATTTTGTGAATAATAACTTAAAACAAGAAGGGGCTTTTGCTGTGGGTGAACACTAAAGAATCTTTCCAATGTTTTATTACAGAGATTCTCTCTTCTCACTTTGGCCAGAGATTTTCCCTTCTCAGTTTTGCTTTGTGAGATGTATGGGTATATACCACAACTCCTCATTGCTGTTACTGTAAATTTATTGTTTTGTAAAGTATATAAACATACCTATTTCAAGATGAAACAAATATTTGGCTTCATTTTGAGAAATGAAGAGTCCCCAGAGCTCCCTGTGAGATGTGGATGCTGAACATCTCCCAAGATGCATCCTGTTATAGGGATGCTTCAGGTGAAACCTTCATCACATTGAAGTCAGTGGGCATTTTGCCATTAATGTCAATGTGGTCAGCTGGGTTTTATGGCAGACTTTGCCTTTGGGGTCAATAAATGCTAGCTCAGGTGATCTGGAAACAGTTATAAAGAGGAAGATGGAAAAAGCTGGGCTGAATTCTACTCTGTCACACCAGCATAAGTCTGAAATAATCCCATTAACTAATGCACTTAATTATCATTTTAACAACAGTAAACTGCAAGATCTTACAGAAAAAAATCCATGAGTTTTAAGCAGAAGAATTATGCAAATAGATTTACTTCTTGAGAAGGAGTATACATAAGTATAGATGAACTTTGATTATGAAGAAATCATTCCAGGGAACATGTTTTACAGAAGTTTTCTTAGTGTTTGCTACTCACTATTATTAATATATGGATTAACTTTATTCTGCTTTTCCCTTTATCTTAACAGCCTTTAGATGCACACACTTGGTACCCTACTGAGATTAAAGGCATTGCTAAAGACAGAGTTTGCCCCCTGATTGATAACATTGTAACACCATAGTTATTTCTATGGCAAGAGGGTGTGATGTCTTAAACACAGGCTATTGTCTTCAGTGGCAGGATTAAACAATAGGAGAAGCTGAACTGAGTGAGAAAAAAACTAGTAAACACAATGATAGCAAAGGCAATATAGCTGAGACACAGGATGAAGTTACTATAAAGGGATTTTACTTGAATTTGTTTTAGTTTGTAATTTCCCTTTTGCAGTAAACCATTTTACAAACATCAGTCTCTAAATAATGGTTCATGGTGAAATTCTGAAGTGACCTGGATTTTACTGAGTAGGAAATCTTTCTCTCTTCAGTAACAAAAAAAAAAAATTAAAGATTTTGCACAGTGATTGCTATGAGTTCCTTTTCTGGGCATATTTTCCCTCCTGATGGGAACTGGTTGGATTGAAGAGTGAAGCTGTATTTGCAGTTAGTTATTCCCCTGGACAAAAATTTAATTTTCACCTTGGGAATAATATAGGTACTATATGCATTAAGTCAATAAAGTTGTATTTCTTTTCTAAGGTACCCTGCTTGGTGGACTTTGCATCATCTCCTCAAAGCCTGGAAAGGAAGACTAATGGTTTAGCCGTAAAGCATAAACCATCTTTTTGTTCTGTATTGTACAGCTCCTAGCACAGTGGTCCTTGACTGGGACTCTTAGTACAGTAAGAAAAATAATAAATAGCAGAGAGGTAAAGAAGAAATTTTGAGTTTTGGCAGTTTACTGCTAAAAATGTTTTGTTGCTAACAGGACAGTTCGTTTAAAGTGTATCAAATAATATTAAGTCTGCAGACATCAGGATTTTCACTGGGTTCTGAGGAGAGAAACAAGACTTTCAATACCCCCCTGCTGGAGTTTGAAATGGGGACACAGAACAGTAATGGTGGGGTGGGACTTACCGTAAATGAGGCACAGAGAATTTAAGGTCAAGGTCATGCACCAGATTGGTGATGAAACTCTGAACTAGTCCTGTACTCAACTACAATATCATTTTCTGTTCAGCATCCATCCAATGGCAATGCTGGATGCACAGCAGGTGATGTTCAATGGCTTTGTTATTCAGAGGCTGGGCTAGATGACCATGAATGGCCTTTTGGGCCTGAAGCTCTGTGAATCTAAAGACAATGCTGCATTTACTTTAGTAGCTTTCCTTCTGGATCCACTGCTAGTAAAAAAAAAATTACAGAAGGAAATCTCCAAGTGTAATAATACGTTTGAATTTAATGCAAATAAAATAACATTTTCCCTTGTCACTGTATTCACTCCCTCTGTTTAAACATTACTTTGCTTCCATGTTGAGCAACAGATATTTGCTTCAGAAAGAAAATAAGGAAGGAATTGGTAGGTCTCATTTCTCCACCTTTGACGATTGTGATAGAAAAGCCAGCTCGCTCTAGTGTCTACATCCTAATAAGCTTCACTTTGTGTGTCCAATAGGTGTCTCAGGGATGTATTTGGTAGCTGTGCTGGTCTGAGACAAAAAGAAATGTAAAACTCCAGAACTCTTGGTTCAGCGATGATACCTTTTATTAGACACTGGTTTTGCATTTCAATAGGTGCCTATCTTCTTTCTCCTAACGTAAGGGGGAGCTGAAATTTAGAGACAACACGTATTCAATCATTAAGATCCCTGTATAGATAGAAGGTGGGTTTACATAGAGTATTTTTATGTTTATTTGTGTTGAAATGGTTACACCAGTGTGACATGAGCTATCACTTTCTTTTGCTTCCTGTTTTCAATGAAACAATGCCTTCTATGTACAGGAGAAGGCTTCTGTGTATGAGATGGCTGTGCATGCCATGTGCCCATTGATGTAAAATCCTGGAATTTGTTAGAAAACCTAGAAAAATGCCATGTTAAGAATGCTTTTGGTTTACATGATGGTTGTACAGGATGGTTTGGTTCAGGATGTTCTTGCTTCAGGCAGGGGGTGGGACTAGATCTTTGGAGGTCCCTTCTAGCCCTACTTCTTTATGACAATGCAGCAACAGCTCTTCTAGAAGCTATATAGTGATTACTGACTGGTAAAAATTAAACTATTTCCTTGCCTGTTTTCTCTCAAAATGACTGTGGTTTACCATGGGGTATGGTGGATTTAACTGGATTTTGTAGTTTAATCCTATTATATTTAATTTATTTGTACATACAGTTTACAGCCCAATGCAGCAAAATTAAACTGTTCTATTTCTATGCAAAAATACTATGGAGAATACTAGTGGATAAGGTCAAATAGTATGTGCATTTTCATGTGCTCCTCAGCTTTTCTCTCTATAGAAGTCTCTTGCTTTTTTCTTCCTGGAATGGATTTAATGATTCTGACTGAATTTAGAGTTATCACACATCCTTTCAGTCTAAATGTATGAAACAATGAATTAAAGGGGAAGAAATTCAAAAGTCTATCTCCCCCAAGACTCCATATCCTCTCTCATTACTTTTTATGTTAAAATGTTAAATTTAATTATTAACATTGAACATTAAATTCATATTTAAATGCTCAATTTTAGTGGGTTATAGAGAAGAAAATAGAACTGTCAAACAGAAAAGTGCCATTTGCTATTTGAAATTAATGTGTATGGGGAAAAAGGGGGGGTATGCTTATGGAGATTACAGCTTGTAGACTGGGAACTCCTAGCTTCTGTTCTGACTTGCTATGTGACCTTGAATTAATAATTTAATCTGTCTGTGCCTCAGCTTTTTTCAAATACAAAATAGCTAAAATACAATACCCATCTCTCAGAGATATCAGTTCATAAAGTGTTTTAAGATGAATATGTGACAGGTATTAGTGCTAATACAATTTTAGCATTGCAACTTATACATCCATATTGACTATAAGGGATACAGTCATTTTAATATATAAGGTAAGTAAACGTGTTTATTACCAGGTTTTAAGTATTCATTTAGCATTCTCTGCTTAGAATAATTGCTTCAATGTATACATCTAGCTTAAAATATGTGTATTTGTTCTCTAGACTGAACACGCTGTAAATGAAACCCAGGACTCGAAGGAGGATAAAATAGCCCAAAAGAGATTAGAACAGCAAGTGCTGACCTTGAAATCACAGCTCAGGGACCAGGCCATGTTACAAACTCAGTTTCAAGATTTGCAGAGGGAAGTGGAACTTCTTCAGGTTCAGCTCAGTGAAAAGGTATCATAAAGCTCATTTTTAGGTGTTTAACTCCATGAACTAATGTGGGCTTAGATTGTTGACTCCAGTTCATTCTTCTAAAATAAAATAACCCAATTTTTTTTTGAGAAAATTTCCCTCAGAACCAAAATGCTGGGTACAGTGCAGGTATGTAATTATAGGCACAAATACAGAAATTGGAACATTGGTGATAAAATATGAGGGAGATCAGCTTTATAGAAATATGATTATATCTCTCCATTGTTAATGCAGTTGCTAGTTTCCACTAAAAACCCTGTAACCTAACTGTAGGCAAAGTAGTATTGACATACATTCCTGCGCAAGCTCTCTCCCTATCAGGATTTTCAAAATACTCAGTACTACAATGCGTAGGTTCTCTACCACATAACAAATCAGAGATTTCTATTCACAATACAGCCAAGATCAACTAGTATTTCTTTTGATCCAATTGTTAGACCCACTGTAAACTAGGCCTGTGCTAGTGAACCTAGCATAACTATGTCAGTTAGGAACATAATTTTTACTGATATAGTTAGGTTGGTAAGAGCCTTACTGAAGATACAATTATAGCTGTAAAAGGTGATTTATACTTGTACAGCACTTTTTTTTTTCCTTTTGCTAGATGAGAATAATCTCTCTAAACCACCTAGAGCTGCACTTACAGCTGAGTGGGATTTGTGTCTTTAAATATGTTAGTGTGGTAAAAGTAGCAAAAAAGTGTAGATAAAGCCTTGCTTGGTAGGGCTGTGCAAAACAGCACTGTTTCATTTCAACTTCCATTTTGCTGTTTTGAAGGGACCAGTGTTTCATTTCACCATTCGGAAGCCCTGTTCTGTTCCATTTTGTTAAAGCTGGTTTGCTGTTTCAACATTTTGCCCATAGGCTATAATGGGGAATCACATAAATGCCTATAATGTTGTCATTTCTTGCCTGATTCAGATTAAAATTGCAGGGGCGGTAGCCGCCTCTGCAGGCTTGATGCCTGCCAAGTTTCAAGGAGATAGGTGCAGGGATTTTTGGGAAACTGCACCTCAAACTGTTCAAAGCAAATAGTATTATTTGTCAGCAGCAGCAGCATCCCACATGCAGATCCGGGGGCCTGCACCCCCCTCCCCCCCCCCCGGGAGGAGTCTGGCATGGCTCCGCAGCCCTCCCAGCGGCATGGGCCCTCAGATCTGCTTGCGTGATGACAGCAAGCTGCTGCTGCCAGCTGGGGCTAGCAACAGCACTGGGTTCTTCCTGGCACTTGACACAGGCTGCACTGGGCAGACTCGGGTGCTGGCACTGGTCCCAGCCAGCAGCAGCAAGCTGTCATCCGCAAGCTCCACAGCTGGTGAGTGTGGAGCTTAAAAAGCCCTGCACTCACCAGCTCTGGCAGCAGCAATTGGGGCCTCTGAGGGCTCATGGCAGAGCCTGCCCTGTGCAGCATGGGGCAGTTGAGGGCAGCGGGGATTGCCCCCCCATGCCGTGGCATCCACATGGCAGCTGTCCCATGGTGTGGGTGCAGTGTGGCTCAGCAGGGCACTGTGCACTGTCTGGGAACTGAGGCAGCTCCAGCAGTCATCTGGAGCTCCCAGTTCGATTCCCCAGCTCTCTGATTATTCCCCCAGCTCTTCCTGGGGGGCGCAGCACTCAGATCTTCAAGCGGGGTTTCAGCTGGCTGCTGCTGCTGGCTGGGGAAATAGCCCAGAGCTGCCACCATCCCCAGCTGGCAGTGGCAGCCTGCTGTCATCCTGCATCATTAAGGGGCCTGCACCCCACAGGAAAAGATGGGGGAAGCAATCAGGGAGCTGGGGAATTAAACTGGGAACATGCTCCCAGCTTGATTCCCCAGCCCCTGGGTCAATTCTCTAGCTCCCTGTTTGATTCCCCAGGCCCTGGTTTGAACCCCAGATCTCTGATCATTGCCCAAGGTCTTCCAGGATCTGCATGCTGGGTTCAGCAGGCTGAAACCCTGTGCACAGATTGGAGGCCTCTACTTAGTTTCTGTTAACTGCAAGCAAGCCCAGCTTCAAAACTCAAAACTTTTGAAACTTTAGAAATGTTTCAGGTGCTCTTGTTTAGTTTTGACACTGTTTCTAAGCCTTTCATTTCATTTTGATTTTGCTATTTCAAGCTCAAAATGAGTCGAAACAGCTCCAAAACAAAGCACGCTTCAAAATTTTGCACAGCCCTATTACTTGGCTTTACATGCCGGCAGATTTTTCTTCAGTCCCACTTCTTTCAGGAATCTTTGGAAAGGGATGAATGCTACAGTGTCCTAAATGGTGTAAGACAAGTGATGTGCTAGAAAAATTTTAACACGGCATTATCTTTTCATATGACATAACTTAGGGCAACTTCTCTTCCATCTGTTTCCCCTAAGCTCCCCCTAATGCATCAGCATAACATTCTCCATTCAGTTCCATCCTCTTTCCTTCACACTAAATACATCTACTTCTGTTCCTAACCTTGTCACCCTAACATGATTGCTTTTCTCCCAGCTTGTTAAAAGAGAAGGTGGCTGCTGTGGGAACCAGTTAGGAGCTGTTCCTCACACACCTGGTACAACATTTGGTGGCTGTACTGAAGGCAGGTTATTTATTCATGTGGCCTCTGGCTCTCATTCCTAGGGTCATAGCAGTGAACTTCACAGCTAAATATAAGTACAGTTTAGCTTTGGGCATTATGTAATGCCTCTACCCGCAATTATTCCTTTATGGTGAACTAGATACAATAAAAAAGAGCAGTACCCCCTCCCTTCGTCCCCCTCCGAACAAGTACTGTGTCCAACCCGGTGAAGCAAAGTAAATCCAACTGCAATCACTGAGTACAAAAATTACTTTCTGTTTAAGTGTATTTACTTATGGTAGATACTACAAATATGCTGCTGCACAAAGGTAAATCTTATTTTGAAGTTCTTGCTAAAGCTGAAGCCTGGTGGTTTATGGACAAAATAATTATAATGACTTGTAATTTCCAAGCCACCTAGCAGCTGACAAGACTACAGTTAATAGTGTTAACGTGGAGCACTTTTTAGGAGGACTGTGGAAGCAGTATAGATTTACCTCAGGGGCCTAGATCCATTCACTTGCCTAGCTCATGTATTGGAAGCAGTTCTGCTATCGTAGCATAGAGTTCTATGCAAGTAAATTTACCTGGCTTTCAACGAGATAGCCCTATGCTACTCCACAGTGCAGTGCCATTAGACTTTCTGTCTTTCTGCTAAGGCAGATAGTCTGCTACAAACAACTGTTTTCTGTTACTGGTGAGCCAAGCACTATATCAAAGTGTGAGTTGAAACTAGAGTTTCAATATCTGCCCACAGTTACTGCACAGTAATGTCAGAGGTGCTGTAGTTTTTTTTCACCATTCCTAAATTAAACAAATATGGCAGTAGCTGAGACACTGCTGCGTGAAAATAGATTGTATATCTATTAACTTTTGAGTAATAGTTACTACTGTGTAAGAGTGAGGTGATAGCCATGATGGCCCAGAAATTATATAAGGCAAGGATTTCTTAGGGTGTTATCTTTTATTGGGCAAACTGTTACATGATACGTTGAGTGATATCTTTTATTGGACCAACTATTATGTAGGATTTCTTAGGATGATATGTAATAGTTGTTCCAATAAAAGATGGTACCCTAAGAAATACTTGCCCCTCGTATAATTGCCATAGAAGACATTTACATTAAAAAAGGCACAAGCCAGCAGTTTTCATGAAAAATACTTCAGTGTTTGCTATTCTGAAATGCACTTTTATCACTGAATGAACATGTGTAGACATACTGTAGTTCTGAGAGTGCCTGCAAAGTTGCACTGTGGGCCAGTATTGCCTAAAATGTGATGGGTTTTAAAAACAGTAATTTCACTTTTTAATTTGCCTCATTTGTTAAAAATTACTCTTAAACACCCCAGAATTTTATAAAAGCAAACGGAGATTGGAGTGTGTAAGATTTAGAGATTAAGACTAAGTTCCAGGTGGGGTGCCTGGGTATGACCAAGCTGAGGGGAAACATCACATTTACCTGTAGGATGATCCTGTTCAGCTTCAGTAGAAGACAGTGGGAGAAAAATCCAGCTGAGTGAGTGGAGCAGGCCCGGGTTCATGGTCCTCTGGACTGGCTGCCTATTACTGGGACAGCAAAGTCCCACCACTTTGAAAACAAAGCAGCTGTGGCACAGCTTATGGCTGAGGCTTTACTCCCCTCTGCCCCTGGAACAGCACCAAGAAAGGACATCTAAATAAAGGATGAAATATGTGTCCTAATGTCACATTACACCACCCTGTCTGCAAGGCTATTTCACTTGATACCTCCACACCACTGAAATATCTCCAGTAAAAGGACCTTTTTCCAGCCCCTTCTTTGTTCCTTCAGTATTATGATTTTTAAAATATTACAGCTCATTATTACACTCATTCCCAACTTCCCAAATAATGATCTAAAATTGTCATGAGAACACTTTTGGCACAAGTATATTTTCATGCAGAAATATTCAGTAATTGCTTTGGGACTGAAACACTATGTAAATGCTATTTAAATAAGCAAATAAAAACAAACATCAATTAATATTTTATCGTCAAATTATAACATATTAATTATCTTACCTTATAAGATGATTTCAGATAGAAAATTGTGGGGGTTTTCTGTTAGAGAAGACAAGAAGAGGAAGTTCCTGGGCAGCAAACACTGTAATCGGAAGTGTAAAATCTGCAGTGTGGTGTGTTTCACTCCAGGAGCTGTGTCTCTGCCATGTAATGTGAGTGTGGAGTGAGAGGTTTTCTGAGCCCACAGTTTAAAGCTGGTCATAAAATGCACATAGAGAAAATCCCTCCTGACTTCTGGCAAGCTACCACGCATCACAGACAAGAAAAGGAAAACTACCTCTCAGAGGAGCTGTTTAGAAGATTTATAGAGCAGATGCATGCATGCATGCATGGTAAAGGGCGCCAGAATAAAGCTTCTAATGTGCTGCTGCTGCAATGAAACAACCCCAGTCATAAAGGAGCCTGTACAGAGCATTTACAATACTTGTTCAAACTCTTTGGTTTTCACTTGTACACGTGTTGGGCGTACAGCTGTTTAAATGGGTGCCAGAGAATGTTATAATATTATATTTTTTTGTAGCAGGCATGGATCACACTGGAAGATGCAAAATATCACAAATTCTAACACCTGGAGAAATATCTAAGTATTTAGAATACTGCTGCATTCTAGAGAGAATCTTGAATAAAATGAAGGCTAAATATCTTCCATTCTTTTAGACAGAGGAACTACAGAAAAAAAAGACTGAGGCTGACCTGACAGTAGCTCCCCTGAAGGTAATGTATTTTGCTGCATTTGGTGTGGTAGCTATAGCTGTCATTCCACTGGTTACAAAATAGGCTTAATTCCTTTATGCATAGCTGGACAAGGTTCTTTAGGTAAATCTGATATCTTTTACTAAACCAACGCATAGTTGGAAAATTTTCTTCTTAGCAAGCTTTTGGGTGCATACACCCTTTGTCAGTCTGATGAAGTATCTGCAGATGGCCAGAGGCAAGCTGCTTTACCACTCCTTCCAGGAAAAGCACAGACCATCTGCACCTGCTTCCTCAGCGTGATAAAAGGTGTATATGGTCAAAAGCTTGCTAAAAAGAATTATTCCAGTTATCTGAGTTGGTTTAATAAAAGATATTGGATTTACCCAAAGAACCTTGTCTGCCAAGTCTGCCTATCCAAGGTACCTTGTCTGTCCTTAGACCAACATGGCTACAACCTACACACCTTTATGCATAATTAACTTTTTTTTTTTACCCCACCCTGTTCATTGTTTAGTGTACTGCATGCCTCTTTCCTGGAACTGTCACTTGAGTGAGCTGTTTGATTTTAAGTAAAAATCAAAATAGGATAGGATTAGGGCCTTGTCGCATGTTATTTTTAGGTGGCTCCTAGAGCTCTGAACTCCTGGATTGTCTGCACGTTAACACCTTTAAGTGGCTTTAAGCACTCATTATGTAGCTATAGCTAAGTTATACCACTCCAGAGCAGGTTTATCTCTGCTCTGCACAATCCAGCACTTTGCATTTTGCTTGCCAGATGTCCCATGGCCCCTGCCATCCCTGGCTTTCGTAAAAGATGCTATCTTCCCAGCGTGCTCCACAGCCCTTCTTCTTCCTCCTTTCCCTCAGTGCTGACCCAGCCTTCTTCTAGCCAGAGACTGAGCCATGCAGTCCAGAGGTTTGAAGGAGAAGTCATCTGAGCCACACAAACACACAGACCTGGCAATGCCTATCCAACCTCTCCAAACCTTTTCTGAGCCTACCCTCACCTCATTCTGCTGCATGCCATGTGCTTTGATCAGGGACGGGGCAAGGGGCTATTTTTGCTCAAGTTTCCCCACTCAGCCGGTGGCCTTGACAAGCATCAGAAATGTTCAGCCTGGCTGGGAGGCTGAGGCGCCTGACCAAAGCAGACAGCACTACGGATTCATTACAGAGCAGACTCAGGAGAGCCCTGCACTCGCTCCAAGCTGTGATCTGCAAAGAGGAGGAAAATGTCCCCCCTCTTCCTCTTCTCATCCCTGGAGATGGTGTGAGAGAGAGAGAGATAGGGAAGTGGGGTCCAGATTCATGGTGGCTGATGGAAGACAACCTTGAAACTTTCCACCTACAGCTCCTAGCCCTGTCCCATGCCCACAGCCTGGATCCACCCATAGCTGCCCCACCTTGGAACAGTGACTTACCTGGCAGCAGGCTACCGCCCACCCTACAGCAGCCTCACTGCATGTGGATCCAGTGCGTAGAGCAGGGTGATGCTGCAGCTTTTTACCTAACAGAAGTAGGAGTGAGCTGCATAGAGAATCATAGAGACCTAGGGCTGGAAGGGACCTCCACGCTCACCAGGCCTCTAATGGCAAGTCACAGCTTCTCAGGTAGGGGAGTCAGAGAAGGTTTCTAGAATAAAGGTGCTACTGCTCCAAACTCCAAGCTAGCACTGAGCCAGTCAAGGTTTGGATGTCTCAAATGGCCCTTAGTGAAGTGATAGTGTTGCTGCTAATCTTGCCACCAGGGGGCCCTTATGCACAGAAAACTGAACTATCCATTACCAGCTGTGTGCCAGCCTGCGTTGCTCAGGATGCTGCTGAATTTAATGGTCCAGAAGATGTGCTGAAGAAGAACAGGAAGATGTGCTGTCCTGAAATCTTTGGGTCAAATGTGCCAGGTCATATTATATTTAAATATAAACTCACTCTCAATGGGCAACTGAAATCTGTTTAATTTTTGTTCCTGTTACATAGGCTAAGTTGGCTTGTCTTGTCCGCAAATGCCATGAAAGAAACAGTTTGATTACCCGGCTGGTCAGAAAATTGCATAGACCTGGAACTATGGATTCTGTTTTAAGTGAAGAGGCAAAGGATTTGGTGAATGATACTGTCCTTGCAGACTATTTGTTCACCTTCACACCTGCACATGATCAAAAGGTAAATCCATATAAATTTCCTATTGTACAAGTCGTTATTTGTATATTCTATATGTGAGCTTTTTAAGCAGAACATGGTGGAATAGATCTTTCCTTAATTTACTAAGTTTTATTAACCTAATGGTTGGGAAACCAGAATAGCAACTACCAGAAAATAAATTGGGTTATTTATTTATGTTGAACAGGGCTTGGTCCTTGGGCCCGCCCTGTTCAACATCTTCATCAGTGATTTGGATGAGGGGGTGCAAAGCACCCTGTTCAAGTTTGCTGATGACACTAAGATGTGGGGGGATGTGGGCGCAATAGAGGGGAGCAACAGGCTACAGTCGGACCTAGATAGGTTACAAGGATGGGCAGAGGACAATAGGATGGGGTTTAACACAGACAAGTGTAAGGTGATGCACCTGGGGAGGAACAATCGGCACCATACATACAGGCTGGGGAACTCCCCTCTTGTCAGCACGGAGGTGGAAAAGGATCTGGGAGTCATTATTGACTCCAAGATGAACATGAGTCGGCAATGTGGGGAGGCGGCTAGGAAGGCCAACTGCACCTTGTCGTGCATCCACAGATGCATCTCGAGCAGGTCCAAGGAGGTGATCCTCCCCCTCTATGCGGCACTGGTCAGGCCGCAGCTGGAGTACTGCGTCCAGTTCTGGGCGCCGCACTTTAAGAGGGATGTGGACAGCATGGAGAGGGTCCAGAGGAGGGCCACTCGTATGATCAAGGGACAGCAGGGTAGGTCCTATGAGGAAAGGTTGCGGGACCTGAACCTGTTCAGCCTTCAAAAGAGAAGGCTGAGGGGGGATCTTGTGGCCTGTTATAAACTGGTTAGGGGGGATCAGCAGGCGCTGGGGGAGTCCCTGCTCCCCCGAGCGCCGCAAGGAGTGACCAGGAACAATGGTCACAAGCTGGCGGAGGGAAGGTTTAAGTTGGACATCAGGAGGCGCTACTTCACGGTGAGGGTGGCTAGGGTCTGGAACCAGCTGCCAAGTGAGGTGGTGCAGGATCCCACCCTGGGGGTTTTTAAGAGGAGGTTGGATGACCACCTTGCTGGGGTCATTTGACCCCAGTGCTCTTCCTGCCATGGCAGGGGGTCGGGCTAGATGATCTGCTCAGGTCCCTTCCGACCCTAGAAACTATGAAACTATAGGAAATTATGAAACTATATTCCACATGATGTAAATCAGTATAAGTCTATAGAAGTCACTGGTGTTATTATAGTTTATTCAACTGTGGATTGGTCCCATAGTCTCTCGAGGTGATCACTGTGTATGCCTACTATCCAGGTGAAAGCATCAGATAAAGAAATAAAAGCTAATACTTTCACAGGGTAGCTAGCCTAATGGATAAAGGGGACTTATAGTTGATGCTATATATATTGATTTCAGTAAGGCTTTTCACACTGTTCCACTTGACATTCCTATCAGCAAATTATGGAAAGGTCATCTAGATGAAATCAGAAAAAGGTGCATGTACAACTTATTGAAAAATGTCTCTCAGAGGGCGTGTCAGTACATGCAGGCATGTGCGCTTCCAATAGCTCTAATAGAAGTGGCTCAAATTTGAGCCAGGGCTTTTTGCCTCACTGCATGTACCCGGACATGCACTTTGGTGTGGGGCAAATTGTGCCACTTGGGGCAAAATAACTCTGCCTGGCTCCTCCCGGATCAGCAACCAGGGGGAACTAGAGCATGGGGCCAGCACCTGTGCTGGCCCCAGCTTACTCAACAGCTTCTAGGGCCCAGCCAATTGGTATCTGGGAATGCTATCCCCTGTGCCAGCTGGATCACTGCAGCAGCATCCCAAATCCATTATTTAAAATACCCCAAAATCCATGTTCTTCCACAATTAGAACAAAAGACCACTCTATCGAGAGAGAGACAGAGAGAGATCAGTTGGATAATGCTTTATTGACATATTTATTGACAATGCTTTATTGATATATTTACAATGTTAAAGCAGTTTGGAAAGCTACCAGTGTCTCTATCATCATGATAAAATACATTCTAAATATCTATATGTGTTGATGTATGGTTTTGGTTTTCTTCTCACATTATGGGTGTGTGATGGGGGATGTGGGGTTTGCAGAAAGAGGTGTGGGGGGAGGCGGGTGGATGCGGAGGGATGTGAGTGGATGTGGGTTGGTGTGTGGGGTGATTGCAGAGGGACTGTGGGTGTGGGGAGAACTTGTGGGGGGACTGCTCAGGAGGGTTGGGTCCCCTGGCCCTACAGGGTGAAATCCCTCCACACAGCACTTGCACTGTCAGCCCCTGCAGGGCCCCAGCTCCCCCCTGGAGGGCCACAGCTCCTATCCCTCACAGGGTCCCAGCCACCCTGCAGGGCCACCCGCCCCAGGGCCACAGCCCCCCATGCAGGGCCCACAAGTTACCCCCTGCAACAGCATTGGGAGTGAGTTGCTCAGAACACATTGCTACCAGCTCCCCCATGGCGCAGAGTAGTCCCCAGCGGCTCAGAGCTGACGCTGCCTGTGCTGTTCATCAGGACCTGGCACCACTCGCGGGGACTGTGTCATGCTGAGCTAGGTCCTGCTGGCACTGGGGCTGCTTGCACCACCAGGCTGGGCTGGTTCCATGGAGGCAGGGACAGCGCGCTGAGCAAAGCCAGGTCCTGCTGCCATGGAACTGGCTTGGCCTGGCAGTGTGAACAGCCCCAGTGCTGGCAGGACCTGGCTTCGCTTGGTGTGCTGTCCCTGCACACTGCGCCAGGTCCTGCCTCCAGTGGCAGCACTGCTTGCCCACGGTGCCTGTGGGGAGGCAGCTCGTGGCAGGACCTGGCCCAGCATGACTCGCTACTCCGGCTTTGCATTGGAACAGGGTGCATGGCTCCTGTGCCAAACACACATGAGCTGCACAGCCCCAGTTCAGGTTGGGTCGGGTCATGCTGGTGGGGCACATTTTCCATGAGGCTTAGGCATGCCTCATGGAAAAGGCACTTGGGTGCGCCTCAAAGTGTGCATGTCACACTATGAGGTGCTCAGGCGTGCCTCATAGTGTGCGTTTGCACAGGAGCCACACCTTGCAGAGCTGCACATCCTGCTCCAGTGCAAAGCTAGACTAGGGAGACTCACCGGGCTGGGCCAGGGCAGGTCCCACTGCTGGCTCAGTTGCCATGCACCGCCAGGTCTGCTGCATGCTGCTGGCTCCATGCTCTGGCCACTTGCCTCCCACCCTTCTCACCAGCCCCACATGGGCTGATATGTCCTGGGCCCCACACACCCACAGGGATGACTGGGGCAGCCACATGCCTGCTTCCCCACCTGGTGGCTGTGGTGCCACTGGCAGCAGGCAAGTGGGGCTATGTAGGGCTGTGACTCTGCTGCAGGCACAGTGGGCAGTGGCACAGTGCTGTGTGACCCAGGCTCTGTAGATGCTGAATGGACCTGGCCCGGCCCATCCAAGGTTGTGCACAAGCGGGCCAGGCTGCACCCATTCAGCATGTATGGAGTCTGGGTCGCAGAGCACTGTGTCACTGCCCACTGTGCCTGCAGCAGAGCCACAGACACTCTGCCTGCTGCCGCCAGCACCGCAGGGGCAGGGTGCGGGGGGCAGACATGTAGCAGCCCCTGCTCGAGCCCCTCCATGTACCCACCCACTGGGACATCCCTCCCACCCCCTGCTTAACCTTTAACTTCAGATCAGTTTGACTTCCTATGTACAAACCATGGAAACATGGCTCCTTCCCCCATCCCTCCATCCCTGAGCTTCCCCTGCTATCATGTCACCTCTTCAACCTGACTTGCCCATGCCTTTTATGACACCAGTGCTTAAGTATAGGCAGGGGTGTAAAAGGCAGGAAAAGAGAAGGTTATAAAGGACAGGAAAAGGTAGGAAAGGCCAAATCCACAGTGGACACCCACCTTCCACTTAGATGCCTAAAGTGCAACCATTAGACACTACTAAGATCCTTAAAATCCCACTTCTACTGTCATCTAATCCCACAAACACCTGATATTCCCAGGCATGTAAATTTCTTCCCATATACCAGATGGCAGGAGCTGTATAGTCCTAGCAATGGGAGTTCCATAATAATCGCCCTGAAGAGGAGCAGGAAGAGGGTAGTAGTAGTCAGGGACTCCTTCCTAAGGGGAACACATGTACCCATCTCTCCTTCTGACTTGGAATCCCATGCAGTGTGCTGCATGTTTGGTGCCCTAATTTGGGACATCATGCAGAAATTGCCAGAGTTCATAAGTCCCTCTGATCACTATGCCTTTCTACTCATCTACATGTGCAGCAATGATACTGCAGGGATGACCCTGAACAGATCAGAGATGATGACAAGACCCTGGGCAGGAGTATAAAGAGACTTGGGTTACAGGTTGTGTTCTTATCAATCCTTCCCTGAAGAACGGTACTTGATGTCTGAAAGCTTGTCCAATAGCTCTTCCAACTATGCAGTTGGTCCAATAAAAGATATCGCCAAAAAAATCTTAATCCTCTCAGCCAAAACGTTTTGTAGGGAAGGCTAATGCAAAGGAGTCACTGAACAACTAATGTATTCTTTGTGTCTATGTAGCTCGCCCTCACCATGGAGCAGTGCA